TTTTTGTCTCTCATGCTGGTTTTTGCCTTAAAGTCTGCTTTATCAAAATTTAATATTGCCACTCCTCATTTTTGATTGCCATTAGCTTGATATATTTTTCTATCCTTTAATTTTTAATCTGTTTGCTTTATGTGTAAGATGTGTCTCTTTTATACAGCATGTTAAAGGATCCTGTTTTTGTATGCATTCTACTATTCTTTGTCTCTTGACATTGACGTTCAGTGTAATTATCAATAGGTATGAATTGATTGCAGTCATTTTGCTGTGGTTTTATGTATGTGTATGTGTGGTCCTGCTCGTTTTGTGTACTCTGCATGTTTTCCTATGCTGGGTTCAATTTTTGTGCGCATTTTCATGTCTACTCTGTATATTTCCATACCTGGATTGAATTCTGGATGGCGTTGCGGTGTATGTCAATTTTACTTTGAGGAGGAAGCTCTTCCCCAGTTGTGCTTTGAGTGCCTTCCAACCTGAGGGGACGCTATATCTGACAATGTTCCATTGCTGTTCATAAGATTTTCAGTGGTTGAATATTCAGAAGTAGTTTACCTCTTCTTCTTCCTAGTCTGGAAGCTCAGCTGAAACCTGTCTACTAGTGGTGACCCTTGTTGTTGTTATGTGCCATGGAGTCAGTTCCTACTCATAGTGACCCTGCACAGGGTTTCCGGGGCTGTAAATCTTTATGGGAGCAGAAAGCCTCATCTTTCTCCTGCGGAACAGCTGGTAGTTTCCAACTGCTGACCCTGAGGTTAGCAGCCCGATTCGTAACCACTATGCTACTGATATTTAAAATAGTGGTGGCATCGTTTCCAGCATCAGAGCAGCATGAAAGCCACCACAGTATGACAAACTGACAAATGATTGGTGGGTGTAGTGATACTAAGTAGTTATTGCTCCAAATTTTAAAAATAATATCTTTATGCTTGGTTATAATGCCACTCTGGTATACTTCATGAATATGATTTTATATTATGTTCGTTAATGGTATTTGTGAATGTCCTTGCATGATGAAATACAAGGGGGTTTCAAAAGTTTGTGGAAAAATGAATGAAAAGATAATAGAATTTTCCCATGAGCTTTTGGAAGTCCCCTTGTATTTTGCAATTAAGGTGATATTTTTATCTGCTGTTTACTTTCAGCTAGCTCAGAAAGTATGCCTACATACATAAAATAAATATGTCAGAATTAATTGAATATACTTTCTTTAAAAGCATTTGAGATACTCTTGATCAGTTAGTAATTTTCAGTGAATTTTTTCACCGCTGTTTCATATAAACGTAGTTAAAAGATGAAAATATTTGGAACTATAAAGAGAGTAGAGATGAGGCTGGCTTTGATGTTTGTGGCAGTATTAGTGTAGAGAGGAATAATAAGAGCGTTTCTATTAAGGGGCGTCAAAAAGAAGTGCTTCTAAAATAGAGAAGTGTGATTCAGAAAGAAAACATTTCCTCTTGTGCTAAATACTCTGATAATCTTAGATTGTTTTGTGTTTCTTTGTTCTTTTAAAGAGAGAACTTGAAAATAGGAGAAGTAAAACTTTTTAAAGACATTTTCATCAAGTCTGCATAAAATCCTACAATGTTCACAGAATGGAGTCTCATTTCATATCTCACTTAAACACACAGATTTCCTTATTTGGATCCACCTAATGAGAGACTTATTTTAGAAGCTCTTAAACAACTTTACCAGTGTGATGCTATTGACAGGTAAAAACACAACAGCAATTATAACAGGTCTGTTTTTGAATAGCGTTTAAGTTTCTTTATCAATAGAAAATGATTTATTTGAATTGAATTAGGTGTTTTTCCTAAAATTAGAATTTGTCTTCAGTCTTTCTTTACGGCAATTCTGAATTTAAAAACTGTTTCTTAAAACCTTGTAAACATTTTTGTTTAATATTATATTATTTAATCATTTCTGAGTACCATTTGAGTGGCAGGCCTTTTTGCTGAGTACATAAAGATAATCAGAACTCCAGTTCACTGTCTCATACTTGTGTGTTGTTCGAAGACATAATAATTATCATTGTCTGTTCCTTGAGTGACCTCCCATTCTTTACTCATAGGCCATATGAGAGGGCTTCAAAAATTTCATGGTTAAATTCCATTGTCATTTAATTCCACTTTTCCTTAAGCTTTTTGGGAGTCCTAGTGTGGTACTGTAGGATCTGTACTGGAGCGCTAACCACAGGATTAGTGCTTCAAACCCACCAACTGCTCATTGGAAATCCTGAACAGGCTCTCTATGAGTCAGAAGTGACCCTATGGCACTGAACAACAAAGAACAGTAATGAACTTTTGAAGTGTATCTTTTGTTACACTGCCCTACTTAGCTTCATTGATTAATATGTTTGATGTATTAAGGCTCTTGAAAGGATGAGGTTCATCATCATTATGTTCCTCTTATCACTGACTACAGTGTTTCACGTTTTTGTGTTGAGTTGAATTTCTGGAATTGATTTTAAAAGATCTGAATTATATAACTCACCAAAGGTAGGAAGACTTAAGAATGTTTTGTTTTTGTTAGGAGTGGCCATGTGACCAGGTTGGGCTTGTCTATGGTGGAATTTCCTCTCCCTCCACATCTAACATGTGCAGTAATAAAGGCTGCTTCTCTGGATTGTGAAGATCTGCTACTTCCAATAGCAGCAATGTTGTCTGTGGAAAATATCTTCATTAGACCTGGTAAGAAGCTAATTGATCTTGTTTTACCTGTGAAGAGATTTAAGACTTGATCACTAATCTAGTAAAGTGAAGAAATAAACGTGATATATTTAATGATGTTTTCTTCCTTTGGTTTTCTTAATTATTAGGACAGTACAGACTCATTGTAGAAAATTTATAATTTACTAAAACACATAAAGTAGGCAAAAAAAAAAAAGACCTTTAGCAATTCAGCCTCGAAGAGTTACTACTTATATTTTGGGAAATAGTAAATATTTTAATTTGTTTAAAGGGGCCTAGATTTATTACATTTCATCTAATACATCATTTAGAAAAGCTATTTCAGAAAACTTGACGTGGAGGTTTGGTTTTATCTAAAATTGCTTGCTTTAGATTTGATTTTAATCTAAAGTAAGTCTATTTATAATCCTATAATAGAACTAGGTTTCCTTTGTAATTGATATTTATGTTCTGCTTTGTGAGATGATTAACAGGATGCCACTGAAACTTCAGTTGGTTGGTTAATACTGGAGGAGGTAGATAATCTACTCTAATCATGAAATTCTTAAAAATCTTATTGGAAATTGCTGGCGACCCAGATATAACTTAGAAATAGTCTCTACCATGTTAGTAATAGCACCTAGTGATCTCTTTAATAATAACTACCGTCAGAAGACTCATTAACAACCTGCGATATGCTGATGAGACAACCTTGCTTGCTGAAAGTGAAGAGGACTTGAAACATATACTTATGAAGATCACATAGCACAGCCTTCGATATGGATTACATCTCAATGTTAAGAAAACAAAAATCCTCACTACTGGACCAATAAACAGCATTCTTATCAATGGAGAAGAGATTGAAGTTGTCAAGGACTTCATTCTTCTTGGATCAACTGTCAACACTCTTGGAAGCAGCGGTCAAGAGATCAGATGACGTATTGCATTGGGCAAATCTGCTGCACAGGAACTTTTTAAAGTACTGAAGAGCAGAGATGTCAGCTTGAGGACTAAGGTGCGCCTGACCCAGGCCATGGTGTTTTCAATAGCCTCATATGGATTGTGAAAGCTGGGCAGTGAATAAGGAAGATCGTAGAAGAATTGATGCCTTTGAGTTGTGGTGTTGGAGAATACTGAAAGTGCCGTGGACTGCCAAAAGAACCAATAGATCTGTTTTGGAAGAAGTACAACCAGAGTGCTCCTTGGAGGCCAAAATGGCTAAGCTTCATCTCTCCTACTTTGGACACATTGTCTGGAGAGAACAGTCGCTGGAGAAGGATGTCATGCTGGGTAAGGTGGAGGGTCAGAGAAAAAGAGGAAGACCCCCAACGAGATGGATCAGCCAGGTGACATCATTGATGGCGTCAAGTGTGGCAGTGGTAGTGAGGTTGGCCCAGGATCGGACATTGTTTCGTTCTTCTGTGCATGGGGTCGCTATGAGTCGGTTCCGACTCGATGGCACCTGACAACAACAAGTTAGTTAGAACCCTTCTCTCACTCAGACATATATTTCAGGTGTCCTCTAACAATATTTTTTTTATTAAACTACAGATGAGTTTTTGCTAGCCTAGTATGGTCTTAGATTAACAGATTCTTTGCTCATTTTGTTATCATTTCGTCATTTTTATTCTTTTGTCCCTTTCCCATTTTTCTAGTGTAATAGTCTTAGAAATCTTTTTCTGAGGTGGCAGAGGAAGTAAAAAGTGTTTTTTATTAGTTGATCAAAATATAAGGAATATTTTCACAAACTTAGAATCCCCCTCATAAACACATTGTTTCAGAAATCATAATACTTACAGACATAAATAAAAATGAAATTAAAGTAATTGCTTAATAGTCTCTATGACTGAGCCAACTCATGTATGCCTTTGTGCTTTAAAGTATGCTCTACTAAGCATTGGAATTTCTGAAGTACAAAAAGAAGTTTCACTGTAGTTGTAATGAAAGCAATCATATATTCAGCATGGTAGCATGGACTTTACAATAGTTCTCACACCCACTTTAGTTCAGGAGGGCATGCACTGAGGTATATAATTAGTTAGACTGTTATTAGCAGGAAAGACCAATTCTAACCATACAATGACAGCTCATTTCTGGAACAGGTTATTTGTCCTTAATGACTCGTGATTTTAGGAAATGGTAGAAAACAGTTTGGCTATAGTTCAACTTTTTTTTTTTAACTTTTTATTGTGAATTAGTGAAGGTTTATAGACAACAGATGAAAGACCATTAGTTTTACATTCAACAAATAATGCACTTTGTTTCATCTTAATGGCTGCATTTCCCTCCATGGAACAACATTTTTTCCACTTCCTCCCTGTGGTTTCTATTTCCATTCCACCCACCTTTCCATCCCTTCTCATCTTTGTCCTTAGGTTCTTGTTGCCCCTTTGATTCTGAATGTTCCATCATTCATAGTGAATATACCTTACTAGTGTTGTTGTTTGCCCCCCCCACCCCCCCGCTCCCTCCCCACATACCTATCTACTGCTTGGCTGAAAGTTGGGCCACTGAGAGTGAGCTCCTTTCTAGGTCTGATGGGTGGTTGAGGGTCAGAGTCTCAGGTTCTTCCAGTCTCTCTCTCTGGCAAGTAAGCCTGGTCGTTTTTTCTTTTTAAATAATTTTGAGTTTCATTCCACATATTCTACTCCTCTCTCTCGAGGACCTTCTAATGTGATCCCTTTCAGAGCAGCTGGAACCATCCAGTTCTTCTGTTCTCAGAGTTGTAGAGACTGATGTTCACGTTTTATGAGTCCATTGGACTAATTGATTAAGAGCACCTACAATTCTCAATAACTTTTCACTAATAGCTGTACCTTAGAAGGTCGTTTATGAGCTTTTCATATTACAGAAGCAACTCACCAAAGTAGGATGTAGAACATTGTCTTTGTGGACTGTATTATGCCAGTTGACCCTGGTGTCCTGTGAGACTGTGATCCCATCTAAGAAGTTTTCATCATTTTGCCCGCTGTGTGCTCCACCACATTCATATTTCTGTTTGCAGGAAAGATACCAATACCTCTTTTAAACTCTTATGCATCTGTGGAATCTATTTAAATATCCTCTGTTCTTCCTTCCTTTTCCATCCAGCCTTTGTCTCTGTCTGTGTATGTATCTGAAGAACATTGTTGTTCCAAGGTTGTATATATATGTTTACCTCTCTTCCCATTAGCCCTTGTCTACCTCCCTGTGTCTTCACTTGTCATCATTCCCTTTTCTTGTATATTGCCGCCCCATTACCTGAGTTAACATGTTTCTACCCTCTAGCCAGTGAAGTACTCTCCTTTCCCTCTCACTCCTGGCAACCATCAAAGATTACTCCTTTTTTTCTCTTTCAAACTCTTTATATAGAGATCTATTTTTAAAAAGCAGTTAAACATATTTAATAAGGTACGTACTCTGCAAAGGTATCCTGGTGTGGTGCTGTGGGCTAAAGTGTCAGACTGCAAAGTCGTTTGAATTGCAAGGTCAGTGGTTCAGGCTCACCAGCTTCTCTTTGGAAACCCTATACAGGGTCGCTATGGGTCGGAATTGACTCGATGGCACTTCACAGCATACTCTGCAAAATGATGTTTGACAACGTTAGTCTTTTCTCCATTTATCTTGATTTATTTATTGGTCCAATGGTGAGTTTTGTGCTCTTTATGTTGAGGTGCAATCCATACTGAAGGTTGTGGTCTTTGATCTTCATCAGTAAGTATTTTGCTGATGAATATGTTGTGTATCCAAAAAATGTTGATTTTTTTTTTTTTTTTTAATGTTGTTGGATTTTGTTTAGAATTTTTGCATATATGTCACTAATAATATTTTTAGTGATGTCTTTGCCTGGTTTTGGTACCAGGGTTATGCTTGCTTCATAAAATGAATTGGAGAACTTGCTGTCCTTTTCTATATTCCGAGATAATTTGAGTAAAATTCGTGTCAGCTCTTCTCTGAATATTTGGTAGAATTTACCAGTAAAACCATTTTGGACTAGATTTTTTGTGTGTGGGAGTTTAATTACTTGATTATTAAAAAGGCTTGTTCAAGTTTTCTAGTTTGCTCTGTGTTAGTTTAAGTAGGTCATATGTTTCTAGAAATATTTCATTTCTTTTAGATATTCATATTTGTTGGAGCACAATTCTTCATAGTAGGCATCGTTTATTTATTAGACTTTATTTTTTAAGACAATTTAGAAAAAGTTCACCAAGTAAATGAGGTGTAGTCTGCTTCCCCGTTTGAGTAGTCTCTAGAGAAAATAAGATGGTCTCAGGAAAAACTCCCTTATTTGATATACATAGGCTCTTTGAGATAAATTGACCAGATCACTCCAGGTCTTTGCACATTTCATTTCTTCCAGCTTTTTGGTTTTTTTTTTTTTTTTAAGTTTCTCTGCGTTCAAGAACAAGTTTTAGTATTTTCTAATACCCACTTTGGTCTTTTCTTTCTTTCCTGTCTTTGTAATAACCATTGACTTTCTTCATAGATGATGTTCTTGATGTCACCCACCACTCCTCTATTCTTTATCCTTTAGTGTTCAGTTGTCAATCTGGGCTCTAGATCTCTGCTTGACTGGCCTCTTAGAGTGGGAAATATATTTCTTGTAGGAAGCTCTTTCTTTAGCATCTAATTCTGTGTTTGAAGGGCAGACTCAAAAGCCATGTTTTATATCTTTCCCGTTATAAGTGCTTTGGTCAGTCAGTAAGATATTTAATCCTTTAAGTTTAGAATCTTAATAAGCAAGGGTTTTGTATATCATTGAGAAATGATCTTAAGAGAGTACTTGTGTTCATTTTCATGTACTAGGTTTCATGTACTTGCTTTTTCTATCTGTTATCCTTTTTTTCATATGTTGTATCTTCTTGCCTCATTTTCTTATCAGGCAGTTTTTATTATCTTTTATACTGCAGACATTCATGGAACTTAGAAGAATTAAAAGATAGGGCATTTTGCATTTTTCCATGAACTTTTTGAAGTTTCCTTGTATTTGTTTATTCTTGTTCAGATAGATTATTTTTTAAGTTTGTGAGTCTTGGTTGTTG